AACAACTGCACTGTGCAAATACTTAATTCGTTCAGCATACAAGCGTGTGCACGAAATTATACATATATATGTATGTATGTGTGTATGTATGTGCATGCATACATGACATACTAGAGACATCACTATGATAACACGTATACTAGAGACGTACTGGAGACGTATTGAAGACATACTTATACATCTCAGAATAACCGGTACATCACTAGGAGCTCCCTGCGACGTCTACGGGATGAGAAACCGCGGACATAGTAGATTCTGAAGAAATACTCTGTACATCACAGACTCGTCTCGAATATCTTGGCGACGTATTCAACATGCGTTTGCGATATCGTTCTAACGTTGTCAGAACGTAGATGGCTGTCTGGGAAAACAGGACACTCCAGCAATTCTTTAAACCGCGGGAACGCCTGATGACGGCTCGGACGCCACGCATTTTTGTCATAACTTTCAATTACGCGGTCGAGATTTGGTTATAATATGATATTACATTATTCGTAATTATTGTTGTATTACTCGTAATTATTACTCGTAATTATTACATGTAGCCTCACACTATTTGTAAAGAGAATAAATATATGAGCTTCAAAACAAATCACAACCACGGTTGCCAGATCCCGACACTGTACAGCTGGGGCCCGAAGGTTCGTGCGCTGGAGATTTCATATTTCGACTGGAGGCCGGCCGATTGTTTCATTGAAAAAAAGCGCAGGGTTAATTCGTATATTGCGGCTACTGTTGCAAACTTTCTTTTTGTTATTAATATTTGACCAATATAAAGTGTCAACACAATCACAGAGACCTTTTTATTATTATTACAAGATTACATACAGTCCGAACACAATTACAAACTTTTTTATTATTCGTAATATAACTCCGAACATAATCACAGACTTTCTTATTACTTTCCACGTAATTTAAATATGCAATTAATAAATACTCCACGCGAGCGAAAAACTGGAGATTTTTCCCGTCTGCTGGAGAACTGGAGATTGGTCCCAAAAACTGCAGAGTCTCTAGGCGAAATCTGGAGACCTGACAACCGTGATCACAACCTTCATTCTACCTTCACGGGTGCCTTCCCGCCGACCGGAGTTTCCTTCGCGTTCTTAAACGAACAGTCTTCATTATTGTTATTATTTTTATTGCACTAAAATGTAATTTTACAAAAAGAAGAAGGATATACGAGCATATGTATGTATGGACATGTTTCATATATAAGTATATATATTTACGATTATTTATACATCTTTATGTATGTTTGTGTAGATACAAATTTTATATTCATGAACAATTTTTTACCCGAATTAATATCGTATATAATTTTTGTAACTTTGAACATCAAGATTCTTTAAAAAGCCGCAACGTAATATTTTTGTTCCAAATGCCCATTAGAATTATATTTTTTATCTAGACTGTTTACAATCGTATGCATGAACTGCATAGGATTCTTCTTCTTCTTCTGTTTCCCCTTGATTGATTTTTCGTCTCAAATATAGAGACACAGTACCATGCGAAAATAACGGATCTAGTGGATCCTATGAATAACCTTCTCGGGGAGCAGAGGTCTCAATTGATATAATATATATCTCTTCTTAGAAATTAACTTGAAGCTCTTAACACTGCTTTGAACTCACAAAGCCATAAGACTTCAGATTCTCTATAGGGATTTTTGGACAATTTAGAGAAATGAGATCCCCTATACATAATAGATCGTATAAAAATAATTTTTTAGGTTCACAAAATAATTTTAATAAAATCTTATTAGTTATGTAATTCTACAGTTTTAAATTATTATTTTAAATAAATTTAATTAAATTGCTTATAGCTTTAATATTACCAGTTACGATAATACTGGAAATCAACAATGGAGGAAACATCTTTAATTTAATTAATTGTTCGTTAATTCCAAACTAAATTCAATATTAAGATTTGGATATACCCAGAAAATGTGATCAATATCCTGAATACCAAATCCACATTCGCATTCCGGACTATCCTTTAAATTCCTTGTAAATAAAAAATTATTTATATAAGAATAACCTGTCACAAGTCTGACCGCAACGCAAAAATCTTTTCTGTTAAACTTAAATTTTTTAAAAGATTTTAAACTTATATAACTAGCCAAATTATTATAGAATAATCCCGCATTCTGGTTGAGGGAACACAAAAATGATTCGCCAATTAAATCATATTTAGATTTCATGCTAGATATGCATTGACTATAGTCAATCTTATTGTTCAGAAATTCTCCCGAAATTGATGCAGATTTAGCCAATTTATCCGCCTTTTCATTATCCCTGATTCCCACGTGTGCGGGGCAACAGGTAAAACGTATCTTACTGTTTGGAAATGACTTATTGTATGCTAATAGTTTATTTTGAAGATCTCTAATTAGTGGATCCAATTTAAATTTCTCAAATTTTCTATGTAAAAGTGCATCTAAACTACTTTTAGAATCTGTGCAAATGTTTGAATACAGAGCTCCCTGTTCAATCTATCCATTCTATCGCCTTCTGAATACCCCATACTTCTGCTAAAAAAGAACTCGACAGATTGTTCAGTTTATATTTTAGTTCAATATTTAGAGACGGTATCCAAACAGAACATTCAACTATATTAAGGTTTTTATCTTTATCCAGAGATTTAGAACCGTCTGTAAATATTTTAATTTCTTGATCCGAAACTGAATAAAAATTAGTCAAATTATTGAAAGCATTATTGAATTCCCGCATACTTTAGCCAACATTCCTGAGCCCATATCTATCTGTGGATTAATCGATCTCAAATTAAATGGATAAGAATAAGAAGGATGAGCATCCCACTTATATAATGCTGGTTTAAAGTCCCCGATCTCTCTCGATCTATAGACTATAAAAGAAATATTTCTTTTCGCCACCTCTTTATAGGATGTCACATAAATCATACCATCCAATTTATTTAAAATTTTATTGAACTTTAATTGCCCACACTTTAATAGAAAACTATCCGACAGTCTTGTGACTCTTTCCTTAAAAGATTGTAATTTCGAAAATTTCCAGCACACTATATTGGATGAAGATCTGGGAATACCCAAAGCCAATTTATAAGCGGAACAAAGCAAAGAATTCATTATATCAATATAAGAATTGGCTGCACTTATATACCAAAAAGAGCTCCATTTTGAGGCGTGTTCAGATTCCCATCTAAATGCTCCCCAGATGTCGTGTCATGTACGCCTTGTCTAATGTACGATAAACAATAAGGATGGAGTAATACCTGGGTGACACTCGAGTGGGAATCTGAACTCAGCACTAGTTGGGCCAGAATGGTAGCGTTTACAAATTTAATTGCCATGTTAGGATTTATATATCCCAAGATGAGCCAGAAATCCATTTGAGTATATTCAAAAATTGATTAGACCTTTTTTTCAAATATGTTATATGATCTCTCCTTCTCAAACGGGGTGATCACGGCTCGATTGGACACCAGCAATCCCAGCGACCGGTGCTTAGGAGCTTTGTAGTCTCAAGCGCTGTGAGTGGCTCGTGTCCAATTGAACCGTGTCCAACTGGGTGCCACACGGATGCGCTGCGTTACATGCGATCCATGCGTGAAACGGAACGCACCCCTATTCGTATGTACTTGACCGGACAAAACCTCCGATTGTAAAAATTATTATTTTAAATCGTTTGTATTTCGTATGAAGAGTTTTGAAGTGCAAATAAAAAGGTTTGTGAGTCTTTGTATTAATGAGTCTATAGTTTTTAAGTAAAAATAACAGATGGCAATAATTTACTTTACCACCACTTCTCTTCCTTCTCCTTCCAAGATTCCCTTCCTTACAGTTGAGATACGCTTCAAAACATCTTATATATATAACGAACTCAGGATTCAAATCATTTTAAAGGAAAATGTCGTTCTTATTATTATACATCTAACGAACTCAGATTTCAATCTTTTTTAAAAAAAATCCATTCTTTTGTGAATAATTATCGGACAAAAAAAGGGAAACAAATGACGGACGTTGTCTATCCACAAGTAACTTCTTCCATAACTGATTCAGAAGAGAATAGAAAAAATGTTAAGTTAAG